CATGCGAAGCATGGCTGCAAGCCCAGCCGCAGCATGCGCATGCTGGCTTGGGAGTTGCGGCATGTCGAGCTAGCTAGCAACTAGCATCGCTAGCGCGCATGCTAGCATGCTAGCACCAGCCCCGCACCATCGCAAGCAAGGCCATCAGCAATAGCTCGCTAAGCCTTGCGCGAGGATGCAGCACGCAAGCTGGGCTTGCGGTAGGGTCGCCCAGCAGCACCCAGCAGCCCACAATGATGCGAGGCATGCTTCTGCGAGCTGCCAGCACATGCGACCAGCTAGCAGGCCAGCCTTCGGGCCAGGCCGCCAGCGAGGCAACCTTGGCGCCCAAGGCAGGCCACGCCAGCTAGCGTGCTACGAGTGGGCGTGTTTGTGAGAGTGGTTTTGCAGGTTTGCTTGGGGGCAAGGGGAAGGTGGTCCTCCCCTTATGGTCCTCACCTAACCCCTTGCTCTCCTCAAGCCACTTGTCGTTTGGTGATTTATTGGCTATTTAATTTAATTTGGAATTAAATAAAATTCTATTTGCCTATTTATCAACTATCCCACGTTTAAAGATGATTGGATTTCAAGGACTCTATTTCCTATAAATACCAATCAATTGGCATTGGGAAAGAACACTTGAGTTGGTGAACTTTAAGGTATCTCCAAGGAGAGAAAACCTTTGTTCTAATAACTCTAAGTTATATTTGGTCTAGCCCCGACTAAGCATCGGGGTAGGGAATGGTGTGGTTCGGTAGCGAGGGTGTTAGCCGTCGGAGGTTCTCGCACTTGCGGAACTTGAAGCTTTCAAGTCCGAGATCGAGGTTGAGAGAAGCACCCTACAAGGGTGAGCATTCTCTCTCTCTCTCTCTTCTCTTATGTTTATGTTTATTTTGCATGCTTTTATTTATGTTGTAATTATTATGCATACGATCCGGTTATCGGGTTTTGATTCTGCATGGTGTCGGACACCGCAAAACCCAACATCCTCTTCATTAGATAGGAATGCTTAATTATATTGTACTTTATATTCTCAACCAGTATGAACAAGCATTCGGGCAGAAAATTAATTTTGAAAAGTCGAAAGTGTCCTCTAGCAAAAGGGTTGGGTTAGAGTTGACATCTGAGATGATGGGTGTTCTGAAGATGAGGTAAGTTAACTGGCATGAGAAATATCTTAGTATTCCAACTATTGTGAGGAATTCGAAGAAAATAATTTTTAAAGCCCTGATTGACAGAATTTGGAAAAAAAAAACTACTAGGTTGGAAGGAGAAATTTCTCTCGAGGGCCGGGAAGGAGATCCTTCTCAAATCAGTATTCTAAGCCATGCCTACCTACTTAATGGGTATTTACAAGCTTCCATGCTCGGTCATTCAACGCATTCATTCGGCTATGGCTAATTTTTGGTAGGGGTTGAAAGATGGGAAGAGGAAAATTCATTGGAAAACTTGGAATTCAATGTGTACATTAAAGTGTCTTGGAGGGATGGGCTTTCGAGATTTAGCGGTGTTTAACGACGCTCTTCTTGGAACACAAGCTAGTTGAATGTGTACATTAATGCGATTTTTTTTTACTTAATGACATTTCATTTAAATTAAACCACTAAATAAGGAAATTCGAATAATAACCGATTTTTTTATTCACAAAATCTGAAATACATGTTACAATTTGTACTTCTAAACTAATACATAGAAAAAAGAAATACAAATGAAGTCACATGTATTTTATGCCTCTTGCCAAAAGGAATTAAATCTTTCTTCATTTCTTGATAATTACATAAATCAGCACGGCCAAGAGGATGATTACCAATGCCTCAATGTACATGAAATACACCCTTATCATCCTAATATCTTCTTCAAAGGTTGAGGAAGAAGGTTGATCTCCTTGGTTAATTTGAAACATGGTGGCCGAAAATGAAAGCTGATGTTTTTTATATTTGGGTTATGTTTCAGGTAAAGATGGAGGTAAAGAAGATAAGAAATAAGTGGTGAGTGGTGATTTGGATAAAGGTAATCCCATTTTATAGTATTTTTTTTATACGAATAGGGTATGTCCTACGTAAGTATACAATAAATCATATAATGTATATTACAATAGTTAGTCTTTTTTTTTGTAATAATTAGAGTATTTTTTTTTTATTTTTTTTCATGTTTGGTCATAGTACCAAAATACGTTTATAATATTATTACTCCAATTATTGAAGTAACATTTCCCTTAATCATCGTTCTTCTACTACTCTACATCCCTCCCATTTAATAAGTTTTTGATTAAAAATTAACCCTTTTTCCATGTATTAAATTTTTTTTTATTAAGATTTTTTTTTCTATCCAAGTTCACGTTCAAACTTTTTTTATTGTTATATTTTTTTTAATTTTCTTTTTCTTTTCTTTTTGTCATTATCTTGTTTAATTTTTTTTATATGGAAAAATCAAAACAAATAATCCCACCTTTGCCTCATTTTCTCAAAATAATTCCACCTTTCTGTATACCAAAAATAATCCCACATTTATACCCCCATATTCTCAAAACGAGCCTTTTACTTGTTAGTGTAATTGGTAACCTGTTTAGAAGGTATTTTGCCACGTGTTGTCTTCTAATTGGTTATTTTTATTTTTTATTTTTAAAAAATAAAGGAATAAACAAAAACAAAAAAAGAACAATAACCCATCTTCTTCCCTCTCTTGTTGGAGCCCCCTCCCTCGCCGGGTCAGTCGCCGCTGACCTGCCGGACCCAGCCGTCCTCTTTGCTTCCCTCCTACCCAATTCACCACCACCACATCCAGCCACCCTCACACCGGAAAAAATAAATAAATAAAATCAACCACCTCCAGGTTGCTGGCAGCCATGGTACCCACTATCCATCTACCACTAGACACGAAACCCAGCTACCATAATCGGACACTATTTGATCTAGCCACCACCAGAAACGAAACCCCACCAGTCCAGACACCATTTGATCACCGAGCCACGACCACAACACTTCCCTCACTCGCCATCGGAAATCAGCCAACCCCAGTCCTTAGCCCACAAATCCGCCAACACCTCCCTCACGCACCTTCTCTGCCCCGTTTTCTCTCTCCGACCATCGTTTTCTTTTTCCTCTGTCTTCATCGCTTCATTCTCTCCGTCGATACCCTTCAATTTGCTCGAATCAGGTGGTTGTTCATCAATTGAATACATTGATGAAATGTAATTGCTTAAGGGGAAGCAAAGCAAAGGGGGATGGGTTTCGTGGGTGGCTGTGGTGTTTGGTGAAGGGTTGAGTTTAGTGGGTTTCGGGATGGGAGATATCAATTAAGGGGTGGGGATGGTGGCTGTTCGGGTGGGTTTTGGGATCTGGGTGGGCGTGGCTCAAGCGGCAAGGGGCGAGGCTGGGGTTGCTCAGCCGGCAAGGGATGGTCATGGTGGCTGACATGGATGAAGGGGGGGAGGTGGAAGAAGAAAGATTAAAGAAAATAAATGGGAAATTCTACGTGGTGGCCTCATGGTTTTAATTTTTCTATGTGGAAAACGATGTTTTTTTCAACTCTCTTTAGTGGCACTCAAGTTTCACTAATTTGATTTAAGTGGCCTAATTATCATTAAATTGGCTAACCAACTACTAAATGACTCATTTTCTAACTAAATTACACAAAGAGACTAACTTACCCCTGAATTAATTGATTCCCTCCCCTTTTTCATTAATGGCCACTGCATCTCTACTGTTTGCTCAACATTCATCAAGAAAAGAATCCCAAAACCTTTCATCTTCCTTCAACCTCCACCAAATCATACACTGAAACAAATTGATTAAAATTTTTTAAGAATCAAACACATTTGCGTGACGATTTTTTGGCTAAATTGTTGAGCAATTGTTATCGATTAACGGCTTGGAATAGTTCGAATTTTGGTGAATTTTTTGGGTCGAAATTTAGGGTTTGTTATTGAAATTCTGACGGAATTCACACAATCGTGGACCTTTTAGTGGTTGCTGAAGTGGTATACAGACCTTAAGCAAGGTATGTCCTTTAATCTTAAGTTTGTCCATGTTGTTCTTATACTTGCAGAAGTTACATGCTCACATGTTGATCAAAGATGAAATCTTTATGCTTGCTAGTACGTGTTTGTTGTTAAAATATATGTGTGTGGTTGTTATGTTGCAGAATGGATCAATCTATGCTAAAGTTTGCCTATATGGGTAATGTAATTGAAGTATTTGTTGAAGATATTGACAAGGTCATGTGGATAGATTTGATCATTGAGTGTGAGGAAGGGTTTAGGAAAAAGAACTATGACTTCCTAGCTTTCACTACTACTATAACATGAGAGATGTTAAGATTACTGCTGATAGTGATTTAATGTCAATGCTCGATAGATTAAGGGAAAGGGAAGAGATTACTATTTGGATTGGTTGTGTTGACAAACCTATTAACTGTGTAATTGTTGCTAGAAAGCTTGCTGAATCACTTAAAAATAATCCTAATATACATATTGGTGCTAGCCCACCTAAAAAAATGCCCCAGTTGATGAACAAGGTGGGAATGAAGAGTGTCCTGATGGTGAGGAGTACTGGAATGATATTAGGATAGAAATGGAATTAGAGCACAATGCGCCAGTTGATAACATAGAGGAGTATGAACAGAAGAGTCAACAAAAGAGGAAAAAAAAGAGTGCACCTAAAACTGTGAAACCTAAGAAACTACCTCTCAAGAGAAAGCTTCAACTAGCTAGTGATAAAGAAACCATGCCCCCACAACAAAATTTCTCAAATGCACCTGTATTTCATCAAAAATCAGATTCTTCCTTAGCAATAGCCACAATGTTGTCATGTAACTCTGCTCTTGTCCTTCATAATACACCAAAGAGTACAGCTGCTAGGAAGAAGGGTTCTCAGACCAATAAAACTATGGTTGAAGCCACAGTGGTGAGTGAGAGTGAGTTTAATGAAGCAGTTAGGATTAGGTAGGCTAAGGATGCTCAGGTTGTGGGAACATATGAGATTGGTGAAAGTAGTAGAGTTATGATAAATAACAATGCAAGTATGGAAGATGAAATGGATGAGGGGGCTGGTATGGAAGACGAATTGAAAAAGAGTGTTGTGCTGGAAGATGAAATGGATGAGGGTGCGAAATTAGGAGCATTCATGACACATATGACCTATACATATTAGATTGTTGGCAAAGAGATTTGGATGCAGATGACACTTATTTTAGTATGATGTATAAAAATGGTGAATTTGTGTCTGATGTTGAGTTTGGAAGTATAGTGTTGAAGCCCTAGATGCTCTTTTAGTGATAAAGAGCATTTCATGTCTATCTTCAGAGATTATTGTACACAATGTGGTTTTGCAGTAGTGGTTGATAGGAGCAGTCCAAGGAGGTTCACTGCTTCCTTTCTTGATTTATATTGTGGTTGGAGAATTCTTGCAAGTAGGCTACTAGATGGAGTTACTTGGGCTATAAAGAGCATAAAGAACTCTGAGCACACTTGTACAGGCCTAGATGAAAGGAATCCCCTAATGACTGTTAAATGGGCTACAAAAGAACTAATGGAAGGTATAAGGGCTAATAATGACATCTCTGGAAAGACACTGAATGATTTCTTATTTAGTAGATATGGAGTGCATATGGCAACCAGTACCCTTTACAAGATGAGAGCGGTAGCATTGAAGGACGTAAATTATGGGCATGATACTTCTTATGGACATTTGCCAAAGTATTGTGAGATGGTGAAAGCAACCAACCCAGGATCTGCAGCTAACTGTGCATGGAAGCAACTTAATCCACCTAATCCATCCCTCACTTTCTCAAGTATATTCATTTTATTCAAGGCTGCCATTGATGGTGTTGTTGTAGGATGTAGGAGTTTAGTGGGGGTTGATGGAGCTCACTTGAAAGGACATTTTGGTGGGGTCCTTCTGTCTGTTGTGGCTGTAGATGGAAACAATGAATTGTTTCCTTTTGCATGGGCTATAGTTCCCAAGGAAGATGGTGACAGTTGGGAGTATTTTTTTGGCACTTGAAGCAAATTCTGTCAGGTTCTAGGAGGGATAATGGCTGGTGTATTATTTCAGACAGACAAAAAGTAAGTTAGCTCTGTCACTCACACTTTGATTTCTAAAATTGCAAGTAACAACTAAACTCACTTTTGTGTATTTGTGTGCATGAAATAGATGTGGCACTAACTGAGATATGGCCTGAAGTGGACAGGAGATATTGTTGTAAACACTTAGCCAAGAATTGGAAAGGATCATTTCCTGGCCCTTTGATGCATTCACTCTTCTGGTTGGCCTGTAGTGCAACATCTCCTTTCACCTTTAAAAAGGCTATGGACAGGATTAAGACTGTGATTCCAAAGGCTTGTGAATGGTTAGCTAATTTGGGGAAGCAGTCAAGGTGGACAAGGCACAAATTTGATCCCAAAATTTGTAGTAATGAAAACAAGACCAACTTTGTAAAGAGTTTCAATGTAACTTTGGGTGTGGATAGATGCAGGTCTGTCTTAACACTTTTGGAAGGTATAAGTTTGCTTTTTCTAACTTCTTTAATGGTATTTGACATCATTTCATTTTGATGCTAACCTATCCTAACATGAATGCATAGGTATAAGAAAAATGTGCATGGTGAGACTATCAACAAGAAGACAAAAGTGCAACAACTGGAATGAGGATGAACCATGTCCTAATATAGTAAAGAGAATAAAGATGTTGACCTTTGAATCAAGAACTTGCAATGCTTATCAGTCATAGGAGGGTGAAGATGAAGTGAGGGATGGGAATTCTATGCTTCCTGTGTCAGTAAACAAAAAGACATGTCTTTGTGGGGCATGGCAATTTTAGGTTTGCCTTGCAAACATGCAATTAGAGCAATCTTGGCTGCTGGATTAAACCCATACAAATTTTGCAGCACATGGTTCTCAGTCCAAACTTATAAGCAAGCTTATGCCAACTTAATACACTCTATACCAGATTTTGAGCATTGCCAGAGATTGATATGCCTACAATACTACCACCACGGATGAAAAGAGGCATTGGTAGGCTATCTAGACAAAGAAGAAGAGCACCTGATGAACCAGACAAAGGAAAAAGGTCTACAACAGTCCAATATCAGAGATGTATGTGTTATGGACACAACAAACAGACATGTAAGGGTGGACTCACAGCAGCAGAGCAAAGTGCTAGGGATGGGCAAAGAATTGCAAAGGTAAAAGCTAAAAATACAGCAAAGAAAACTTCTGAATCCACTAAACATAATGTACCAAAGAGTACCTCCACATCAAAGCCACCAAACCCACCTAAAAGATTCACAAGAAGCTCATTGCAATCTGTTTCTCAACCACAACCCTCCATTAACACAACTCCGCATTCATATCAAGCATTTGAAGGTCCAAGCAACCAACCTGTTACTAGGTCAAGAATTATGGGAAAGGAAAGAACAAAGTCTAGTATGTCCTGTAGCTTGCTGAACTAAGACCAAGTTCAATTGCTTGGCTTTGTTTTGGTTTTTGAACTAAGGTTTATATATGATATGTACTTTGAATTGATCATATGTCTTGTTTTTTTTACATTGCCACGGGCTTTTAATTTCATGTTATAATGCAATCTCATTAAGCTCTTGAGTGCTTTCTGGAATGTTTGAATTATTTGAACTCTAAGCAACTTTTTAATCTGTTACACTAAATTAGGTACTAAATTATCATGAACCTCAACTTTGTTTCATTAACAGCACATGTAAATATAATAGAAAGCAAGCACCATAACTGAGTTTTTATTTATACTTGGTTGAATTACATAATTGCATTCATAAAACCCATACAAATTGCATCACTACCCTCATTACATAACTTAATTAGGATTGAACTACTTGATACTCCCCTTTCCTTCGTTACCCTGTTTACATCATTTAAGGTAAAAAAAGATACAAATTACTAATAAGATAATAGCAATCTTCATAAGCCTCTTGCAGCAAACAAAAAGGTCTTCCACCATGTTATGTATTACAGCAATCTCATAATTTGGTGAAGCATCAGAAAAACTCACATCATCTTCAGTCACCCAGTCAAAAAATCCGCAACCTCTGACTTTTTCCCTGCATTTGTAGTATGGATTCTTTGGATTGCTCATGGAATCAGAAAACCTAACCTCAGCGCTTTTGGGAGGGTTGCAATTACAATGCTTCATCCTTATCCAATAAAAACTTCCTTCAGTTGCGCCCCTCTTCCTTGAAGAAACTCCACGAAAATTCATGGTGAGAACCTTTTTGGAGATTGATAATTGATATGAAACCCTAACCCAAGAATTGGTAGAAGGAAGTAATATATAAAGAGGGATTTCATGATAGGGGCGAGAAACTAATGAAAAAGGGGAGAGAATCAATTCATTCATGGGTAGGTTAGTCTTTTTCTGTAATTTAGTTAGAAAATGAGCCATTTAGTAGTTGGTTAGTCCATTTAATGATAATTAGGCCACTTAAATCAAATTAGTGAAACTTGAGTGCCACTAAAGAGAGTTGAAAAAAACATCGTCTTCCACGTAGAAAAATTAAAACCATGAGCCCACCACGTAGAATTTCCCAAAAAAAATTTAAAAAGAAAAAATTAACCTGTAAAAATGGTTGAAGGTAAAAAGGCTCGTTTTGAGAATATGGAGTATAAATGGGATTATTTCCAAAGTACGTCAAGGTGTGATTATTTTGAGAAGATTGACTAGAGGTGGGATTATTAATTTCAATCTTTCCTTTTTTTTAAATGTTTTTAGATCTTATGTAACAATAGGTGTTTGATTTTTTTTTTTAATTCTTTTTTTTTTATTTGTTTCTTATCTTAGGAACTTTTTTTTTTTAAAATATTCCAAATCCTACGTAAGTGCCAAGTTTTATTTATTTATTTATTTTTTTACTTTTTCCTTACTCTGCTTTTTTTTTTTTTTTTTTTTTAATCTTCTTAAAGAGAAAATACAGTTCATCATCATCATCTTCTCCCCCCCCATCCCTAGCTTCATCATCTTCTCTAAAAGTATTTAATTTAATTTCTAATTTCTTACTGACATTACCACTCATCCTATTCCCCGTCCCATAATTCTTAATCCCAACAAGATCCCCTAATGAACGATGAACCATGGATTTTTTTTAACGATATCGTCAATAATGAACACTTGCATAGAACGAACAAATGCTAAGAAGCAAGTAGCCATTAGTATTCATCATTCTTTATCATTTTACTGTTATCCCATATGGGTAAGAACAACGAGCCATTCTCATTTTTGTGTATTTCGACGTACAAAAAGAGAAATTATTGACACTTTTTATTGTTGCATTACAAAGTGTTGGTTACGAGAAAAAAGGGAGAAATAATTTACTAAAAGCATTGATTTCAGAGTATGGGATGACTTTTTTTTTGTCAAATATGGCGGATTGCAGTAAGGAAGAAGATGATATCTCCTTATCTTGTAATTGTTCAGTTACTGTGCTAAGTTTTATTGCTTTAAAGACAACGGGTTGTTGATTGATTTTTAGTGTACTTTGGTTGTATTGTCAAAAAAAGGAAAGGATTTGGCTGGCATTAATTTAACCCATCCTACTTTCACGTGGGATGGGCAATTGCCACTTTTTTTTTTCTTTTTTTTTAAAATTTTTTTTTTATCATTATTATTTTTATTTTTTTTATAGTTTTTTTAGTTTTGTTTTGTTTTGTTTTTCTTATTTATTTTATTTCCTTTTCCTACTTATCTTATTTATTTTACCTATAATTTGACGACGCTATTTTATTTAACTGTTTAATAATGTGCAATATTTTGCTATGGACTATGAAAAAAATGATCCTAATTAAACATTTCGGTTAGCCAATTTAATATAGGGACAAATTAACACTCTACGGATATACAAATAATAAGTGATAATGTTAAAAGTCCCTCGTACTATAATTTGTTTGTATTTATGTAATATCACGACTTTATTAATGCATCTCGGGTTCTAATAACTACTCCAGGAGCTAAATATGCGATGGTTTTCAAAATAAAGTTTAAATGCTTATAACAAGCTACGAAAGTACGAGTGATCATTACGCTGACATGAACGTTTTCCTTTTATCGTGTATACTCGTGTTGTGAGGTTATGTTAAAATATTTATTATTAGAGTAGTAATATTTAAGTTCATGAGTTTTAATGTCTTTGATGATTTTTTATTATTTGTGAGTACTTTCTTTTAGCATTTTAACTTTTTATTAATGACAATTAAACCCCGATTTAGTTTTTTTTATCAGTTTAAGCTTATTATTAGTATAATTTTATCTGTTAAATATATAGACAAAGTCATTTATGTTTTTTAATTAATGGATATGATGTAATCATTAATAAAATCTAGAAATTGACACTTTTAATCCTTTATATTCATTTTTTTAAAAAAAAACCACAAAAATATAGTTTACTTAGTTTGAAATCAAAGTCTATTTATAGTTTTCATGTATTCATAAAATAAACAAAAAAAACACAAAAAATAATTTATCCTCAAGCCTATTATTTTTAGCTTGCATAATCAAAAATCACAAAATAGTTTATTTATTCCATCATTTTTATTCAAGTATCTCATAAACTTAAAAAAAAAAATGCTTACTTCTCTAAGATAGTTATTTTAAGCTTATCACTTTTCCCTTATACTCTCTCTCTCTCTCTCTCTCTCAGATTACTTAAGAACATTACATAAGACAATAACTACGGTGTACTAAGAACATTACATAAGACAATAACTACATCCGACTCAAGGTAATTATTTCTTTTCCTTTTATTTTTACTTTGTCTTAATTTTAATGATTTACTAACGATGTTTGTTTCCATGTGATTCTATCAATAGGAATGATGGCGATATTAGGTGCTAAATTAGCCTTAAATCTTTCAGTACTCTACATTAGAAAATCGAGCCTATTGGTAAGGTGATAGGAACTAGAGAGGAGTGTTAGGTGTTGATGCATTTGCATTTTAGTATCATTCATGAGTCTAAGGATATGTATTAGTATGATGAACACTCGTAAGCTTTTCTTTTATGTTATTTATGAGTTTAAGTCAAGAGCAATAAACAAGTTTATATATATATATATACCAAAAAAATGTTTGCAATACCTACGAAAATCACCAATTTGACACTTCTTAGGGTTGGAATCAGCTCTTGATCTCTTGATATGAATTAAAGAGCTTTCAAGAGCTTTCCAACCGTATCTCATAATAATTTTTACGATTTTTCTACGGTTTTTAGTGAATTTTCCCGTTCAGGTTGTCTTAGTAAGAAAAACCGCTTGATTTTTTTTTCTTAATTCTTTCGCCTCTTTAAAATATATTAAAACTGTACTATATTATATTAAGTTACCAATGGTATCATGGAACCTATATTACACTATATTTATGTAATTTTAAATTATAAGTTTTTATTGTTAAGTGGTTTTTTTTTTAGAAATTTTATTTTTATCTAAAGATGACTTTAGAAATAAAAGAACTTTTAAGGAACTTTAATTTTATCTTAAGATGATTTCATAAACAAAAGAGTTTTAAGAAGACTTATTTTTATTTTAAGATGACTTCATAAATAAAAAGATGTTTTAAGAAACTTTAATTTTATTTTAAGACAACTTTAGAAATAAAAGTCTTTTTATAATTTTTGAACTCTTTACGACTTTAGAA